CTTTCGGGTCCGAACCACGCCTTCTGGCACCGACCGCTTTTGGCCGAAATCGCGGGATACGCTCGGCCTTTTGCACGAAAACTCAATTCAAGCCAACCCGAAGACTTACGTGGCCCAGGGTAAGGGCACGGTGTTCACGGCTGGCGAGACCGTTTGGAACAGACCGCCCAAATTTGGGCCTGGATGGTTTGAAGGGGAACTTGAACTTGACTCTCGGAGTAGTACCCTAGACCCTAAGTCGCCGGTAGACCTTAGTCCTAGTTCTCCTAAACCACCGAGCGTAGACGCTGAATGCTAAAATTGGGCCCTACTCCTGAACCCTAAACCCTCAACCCTAAACCCTAAACCCTAAACCCCTAGACCCTGTAGAGTCTGTATACACCCTAAAACCTAAACGTCCTAAGCCCCAACACCCCAAAGCCAAAGCCCCAAATTCGACTCCCCGAGGTTTGCCTTCGGGTGCTCTCCATCGTGAGCTCGCTCCTTCGGTGGTCGAACTCCGACCTGCGGAAGGCGCCGGGTGATTTCAAGGTCCCTATTAAGGATCCTTAGGGTTTAGGGTTTAGGGTTCTATGGAATAGGGCTCCTTTAAGGGTAGGAATAAGGCTCCTGTAAGGGTACTATGTAGGGTTCAGAATTTCGCAACCGCGACGTGGTTTTGGGAGTTTCAGCACAAGGGCTTTGGTTTGGTTCCGGCTTCGAGGTTTCTGGGTAGGCGGTGCAGGGTTGACTGTAAGGTGTTGTGTAGAGTTTGAGGTTGTAACATGGTATACTACATCATGCTATGTTCTACGTGACTGCGAACACATGCAAGCCTCTGGACCTGGAATTCTGCTCTTCTGGATGGGCTTCTTCATCGGATCGTCTTTCTGGCGACGAGTTGATCTCCATGAAAACCACAAGAATAAGAACAATCGTAATAATAGCATTAATAATGGTAGCAGCAATAACAAGAGTCTTCGGGTTTTCGGATTTAGCTGCCACCTTGGCCCTGAGCCGTAACCTCCAAGCCGCCCGTTTATACTGTCGAGCCATAGACCCTAAACTCTAAACCCTAAACCCTAAACCTATAACTTAAAGTTGCCGGGGACCCAGCGAAGCAGGATCCTGCTCTCATGGGTGCCCTGCACCAAATCCTCCTGCCGATGATCGCCTTGCCTGCACTTTCCAAGGCGGGCAGTTCTGAACCGGATGAGGGCTTATGGGCTGAATCCAGACGGCAGTTGACGACTACACATTAAAACGCACAGCCCTGAGGTGCTTAAGCACTGAACCCCGAAAGCCCAAAATACCTAGAGCCACTCAGATAATCCTAAACCTTGGTGTTGTAACAAAGGTGAGGGTCTTGGCTCCATCCTATGAGCCTAAGACTAAGACTAAGATATCTTTGAAGTTGCGAGGCTGCTTCTAGACCACAGACCTTGGAGTCTAGGGTTTAGACTGTCAGAATGTTGAACAAGACACAGAGAGACAGAGAGAGACAGACCGAGGCCCTACATAAAGCCGCAGCCCGGAACCTTCGAATCTTAGAGCACATACCCAAAACCGCAAGCCATCCCGCACACAGAACATTGCAATCCTAAAACCAAATTCAGTTCGAAAAATTGAAACCACATAATGAGCAAGTCCAAAGCCCTTCCCTGCCTTGCTGCTTGCGGTGGTGCTTCTAGCCTCCATCGCGGTTGGGTGGATGCAGCCTTCCTTTGACACCTCACACTTGGAGGCAAATCCTAAGCCCTATAGGCGGCCCCAGAACAACCGCATAGGTGAAGACGTAGGAATGCAGGTCTTTGGATCGGAATCATTAAGAGAACCCAGGTGTTTGGCCAGCCAGGTCTAGCTCCCAAAGCCAGAAGCCCAACCCCGAGCCTTCCTCCTCTTCGGCCTCCCTGGCCAGGAAGTCGAGGTTTCGGTCGTCTACTCCATCTGCATCTTCTGCGGCTTGAATTCTGAATGATGCTTGAGCACTCACTGGACGACTGAAGTTCAACTTGCAGGCTTGAGGTTGGGATGATGATGGGCTTCGGCTTTGGGTCTCACAAGGCTTCTAGGGTAGGAGTCTCGCCAGCCCGAGACTTTTCTAGTGTACAGGTGGGAAACTATGTGGCTTACGCCTTGTAGGGCTCAGGCCTGCAGGCATCTGGCCTGGATCCCTAAACTAGTGCTGTTGAAGGCAGACTCAAGATATGGCATTCGTAAGATGTCGTGAGAAGGAACACATATAGAACTCACTGTTTGGAGAGTGTTTCCATAGCAGCACAGCAGCATTATGGCCCATGTTTGACCATCTCGACCCAGTCGCCAACAGCCAGAGAAGCTGCGGCATCAAAGGTGTCAGGGATGGTGAAGTTGCGCGATCGCACTGGAGGCGCGCTTTGCGACTGTTGGCTTGTGTTGTCGGGTGTAGATTTAGAACATTCAGACTTGCTGCTTTGGCGGCTTGGTTTTAGTATTTGTGCGGGCGGCTGGTACATAGATCGAAGCGCATGTTATGACATGTGTCTGGCATTTCACACATACACGACTATCAGCGGCAGCTCGTTTGGCAACGATGAACATTGGTTGCAACGAGCGCCGAAGTACCTGAAGTGGTATCCACTACGATCCTCATTATGTTTCTCGCTCTGTTGCTGCTGCCGTAGCACCTCTGCAAGACCGTCATCAATCGTTGTCATTATCTTTCTTCATTCTTGTTTCATCATCTTTAGCAGCAGCAACAGCAGCTGTACATCAGTACTGGCCCGAACAAGAAGAAGAGCGACAGTGTGATGTTGAACCTTAGGATATTCAAGAAGATCCAGAAGAAGACCGTGCACACACACACACACATACAACCCCATTGCGATGTTTCACGTGGCGGCTGGTGCAGCTGTACAACTGCTTGGGAGCCATCCCAGGGTGTTGAAGTCGTTGGCTTTATGCCATGGGGCTAGGCCCAGATTGCATCAAGACTGGTGGCCTAAAGCCCACCAGCGCCAGAGACCTCAATTCCGCATATCATACTTCGTCATGTTTTGCGCTTTGGCTCAGTTTGCTGCTGACGCTACTGCGCGGCTTGCAAGAGGCCAGAGCCTCAGAGAGGGGGGGAACGGGGGGTTCAGAACTTCTGGTTGATCGTTTCGGTTAAGTCTGGGTTTCCAAAGCCAGAACACCGGATCCTCTGCGGCTCATGTTTAATGACTTGGACCAGGCTCCCAACTGGGTCATGCCAGACGTCGGTCGGGCAGGGCGTCGTTGAACAAGCCGTTGTAGGTAGGATTCGGGGTTCAAGTGGGCTTGCGGGTTGTTAAAGAAGCAAATGCCTGCAAAAGTCTTTCGGCATCGCCCTATCACGATGTTCCAACAGAAGCTAAAGAGTCTGAAACCATCTTTCTAGAGGCCTCACTCCTATTCCAAACCCTCAGCTGTGGGAAACCTGTATAGTAATTCTTATCGGACACCTTCAAGCTTTATCGGAACCCATGGATCTTGTGTATATATATATATGTATATATATATATACACACACACACACACATGCTTCTACCCTTTAGGGTCCTTGCAGCCATTACTTGGGCTCCTCATAGTAACAATCGAATTTTGCTGCACCTGCACCCTAAACCTCTGCCATAAGCAACTGGAGCGCAAAGCCTCTAATTCCCGAGCCCTAAAGAACGCCTGGAGCCTGATTCAGACCCGGTTTTCGAGGAGCCAGCGGATCCGTCGCAGTGCAAGCCCGGCACAGAAGGACGCAGTTTAGAGCTCCACTTCAGGGTCTAATCAGTCTAATCTTACGGCCTCTGTTTCTCTCGGTTTAGGGCTGGGGGCGTTCAGGCCTGAAGAGGATCAGCGGTTGATCTGCCCAGCATCAAGGGCAGCGATCTTGGCACTTAGCTTAAGAAGGCGATAGGCGCACTGTCGACGAAGGGCCTGGTTGGTGGGTGATGCTGCCTTGATGCACGGTATCCCGCAGACTTAACCCTCCAAAATGCTTCAGCACCGATAGCAACATGAGGGGCAAATATGGAAAGGTGTACATGCTTGAAGCTCCATGTGTTTGCTTCTCTGCAAGCATCACGAAGCACAGGAGGACCTCTACCTTCAACTCGACCTCCTCGCGAAACAGTGATTTATTCATTTGTTCGCAGAGCAATAGGCAAGCATTCTTCATGTGAGGACAAAGAAGCTTGCACAAAAACTGGCACTTGTCCCGAATAGGCCTGACTGAGCCGCTTATCACCCATTTTCAATCTTGACCCACCTCAATCTCCCACCTCGACGCACCTTCTTGTTGTGTTTGGGGCCGAGGCTTCTGTAGGCACCCTAAACCCTAAACCCTAAACCCTAAACCCTAAGAAGAAGCCCTCAAACCCTTCATAGACCCAAGGCCGGCCCTAGAAGCCTCTACAGACCACACCTCCCCAATGTTAGGGTTTAGGGCTTAGGGTTTAGGGTTTAGGGTTTAGGGTCCCGGGGTTTAGGGTCCCCAATGTTAGGGTTTAGGGTTTATAAGCCCTAACATAAAATTCAGCAGAGGCTCAAATATAAGTAGGTCGACCAGGAGAATCCTTATTTCCTTGCCATTTTGGGGGTCTCCCTGTCAAGACCGTATTAATTTTGTTTCCGAATGTTTACTCTCCCTGTCGAGACGGGGCTCTTTCCTCTTAAGGGGGAACAGTGACATCCATCAGCTCCAAAGCCTCCAAATCTATAGTGAATCTCTAGCTAAAGTTATAGTCTCATTCCCAAAAACCTTATTGAAACTATCAGATTATTACATGCTGTTATGATATCAAGGGCCACCAATTTACAAGCTCCAAAACCGCAGGCTTCACCAACCTCCGCGGCCTTCGCGCCCGGGCGGCCGTGGCAGCCCGCGCTCTGGCGGACTGCGCCCGCATCCACGCCGGAGCCCCGGGCTTCCAGGGTTAGGGTTTAGGGATTAGAAATTAGGGGTTGGGGATACGGGTTCAGGTTTAATTATGGTTTAGGGTTTAGGGATTAGAGGTTGGGGATTAGGGTTCAGGTTTAGGGTTTAGGGATTAGAGGTTGGGGATTAGGGTTCAGGTTTAGGGTTTAGGGATTGGAGGTTGGGGATTAGGGTTCAGGTTTAATTAGGGTCTAGGGGTGTAGCCCCAGAGCTAAGTCCTTCAACGGGTATCGGAACCCCAAGGCATGTACCCAGGACCCCAAACTTCAAGCCTGAGTCCGGACCGGGCTTGTTTACGAATTGGCTCCAGATTCAGTGGGCCCTGCAGGTTGTTGCACTGGGGCTAGTAAGAGAGGTGGTGTTTGGGTTTCGGACGATGGCATGGCGATTTGGGTTCAGCAAAGGGTGAGGGTGAACGGCATAAGTTTTGTGGTTGAGGTGGCTTCTGTCCAAGGATGGAAGTTTGATTTCCGCTGGGCGGTTGTCGGTGAGGTGTACGACCAAGGGTTTACGCTCAAGGCCTTAGAGGCAACACATTTAAACATACAAGCATGGCAGATAGAGCTGTCGATGCCCTGGCTTGACGGAAGCTTCAGAGACTTGTTGAATTGACTGGGCAAGCAAGGGCATGCCTGAAGTTACGAGCCTCTTACAACTCTTCATGTGGCACCACAGCCCTGTTGCGCTGAGGGCCACCTACTGGACAGGGTGGAGGTGCAGCCGTGCTGGGTGTGGCTTCGGGATCGTGAATCTCAAACCTAAGCTGCGAGTGGTGGTCCGGAATCAGTTGCAGCTCACAGCTAATACTAGACTACTTGCATATCTTGTAGGGCGAAATTATGCAATTAGCCATGCAACCATGTGAGGCAGACTTATCACTGTGTGGCGGCAGCAAACCTGTGCCAAGTTTCGTGTAACCCTGAAAGGCAGTTGTAGCCTTGGGGGACGGGTGCAGTCTTTTCCGCGCTGGGTTGCAGCATCAGGGTTGTGGGTGCAGTGGCTGCGTTTCAAAGTGGTTCATTTTTTTTGCGGTTGCCTGTTAACTCTGGAGCCAATCCCGGGCCAACCCTGACAGCCTGAAGCCCTGCAGCACAACAGGCAAAGTCTAGGCCCTTTGCAAAGGGCCTGAATACAGAAAGATCGATAAACACAAACCCTTCAACATAAACAGAGGCAAATATGACTAGACCCACAGCAACAAACAAATGAACAAACAGATGCACACCTCTCAATGTCTAAATTTAGAACGAACAAATAAAACAGAAAAAGTAGATGTATGTGTCAGAAAGTAACTAAATATAAAACAAAACCAAACATGTCTGTCACACACACACATGCTTTAGTGTGTATATATATATATACACACACAATATACATGTTTATCTATCTCTCTCTCTCTCTCTATATATATATATATATATATATAATGTACATGTGGAGGTTCTCTCCGCGGCATCCGCCTTGAGCGCCGTCCCTTTCTCATCGCGGCAGGTGGTTTTGAGTCAAGTGTGTTGGACATTTGGGAAGAACTTTGGGTTTAGGGTGCTAGGGTTCAGGGATTAAAGTTCAAGGGTTTGGGGTTTTAGGGTTGCTGAGAGGGTGTAGGTGCTAAGGGTTATAAGGGTGAAGGGTTTAGGTTTGAAGGTGCAGGGTTTGGGGTGGTCAAGGCTTTTGGGGTGTGGACTCGAGGTGTCAGCCTCGGCACAGTTTCGGGGACCTAGCGTTGTGATCCCTGCATGTACTGCGGGAGCTAAAGTCTCTAAGACGATTCCGGCGAAGAGTCCAGGTCTTGATGCAGCAGCCGAAGCGGATAGCGTTGTCATTTCTGTTTCCCCTATCTCAGACGCTTTCCGTGCTACATACCACAGAGCCCTGTTCGATTTTGTATGTAGTTCGATGTTACGGCCTCACTTGCTGTCGAGTAGCAAGTCAGGACTACTTCGTTCAGGGTTTGGAGGGGTTCAGGAACCCTAAAACCACCAACGCAAAGCAACCCTAGACCCTATACCCCATTGAAGCTTTGCGGGTCTGAGGCCGAGCTTGCAGTCCCTAAATGTACAGCACTGGAACCCGGGAAAGAGCTCAAGGTGTAATTCGCAGGGGCAGTCTCTGAGGCGTATTGAGTACTGCAGGTTTGTGAGGTTGCCGTCTCTGTTGATGTAGGTTTCGGCTCGAACACTAAAGGCATTAAGTCCTCAACCACTAGCAGCTAGTCACTAGCAGACTTCCTGTGAAGCTTGTCAAGAACCCGACAGCCTGAAGTTACCGGCTTCGAACTTTGAGGAGTCAGCATTGGGGCAGATGGCAACATTCACGCACTAAGCTTCCAACTGATGAACGTCTCTGCTTTACCTTGTCCTTGACTTTCCTGCTTCTGAGGTTTCATTCCAAGCCTCCAGTCCCTAAGCCCTAAGCCCTAAACCCTAAACCCTAAACCCCAAATCCCTAAATCCCAAGTCGTTAAATCTAGAACGGGAAACGAAAGATCCTAAGCCTCACGCTAGGACTCCAGAGTCCGAGCACAAACCCACACGCCCAAACCCTAAACTCTGCGCCCGAAAGCCGTAGACCCCTACTTGGAGGTTCATGGG